GGTCGTCATGTGTCTTGTGGGTGCACTCGACGGGATCACCTGGCACGGCGGGGGTTAAAACCCTGCTGCTGCTCTGCTTGCTGGGTGGATGGATGGAATGCGAACTACGACTTAACGCCGCTGGTGTTGCTGCTTTGCTCTTGCGCGTGCCCATATGGCGAGAGCAGAAGCCAGTCCAGACCGCGAACTACCTCGACCTCGAAGGGGTAAGAGCAAGTACAACGCCCTGTCTTCTTGGGGGAGGAGCCCTGGGCGAGGAGGTGGATAGTGCTGTCGAACTGTTCCCTCCAGAATCGCGCGTTATCTGAAGGGTTGGATGAAGAGCACGCCCGCGCGCGACAAGCATGGCCGTCCAGTCAGCTCTGCCGTTTGTCGGGGAGCTTGGGTCGTGAGCGTTGTTGTACGGCACACTCTATGTCCGGATGTAGATGACGTTTTTCCACGCAAAACGGCCCATACACCGAGCTTTCCATTCCCAGTTCCCACGGGCCTTTGGCACACTCGAAAAACAGTGTTTACTACCTACACATGGTCCCACGCCCATTTTGCTGCAGCTGATTTTGGTCACATCCCTTTCGATCGCCCCGAATCAGGTTCCCGGACGTTCTGGTGCGGCGATCGATCTTGTCTAGCCCACATTGTACTTTTGTCAGCTCGGCTTCGGGTTCCATCAGGGGGGGAAAGGAAAAACGGAGGCCAACTACGCGGAGGGGGAGAGGGTAAAACGCAAGCCAGCGTCGACCAGAGGGGTGTGAACGAGCCGCAGCAGGGATGTAACCCTTGATGGAAGGGGCCCCGTCATAGGAACTGTGGAGAACCAGGGGTGTGGGTGTGGGTGACTTTGACCAACGGCCCTCGCATCACGGAAACCGCGGAGCACCCCTTAGAGCTGTGCGATTTTTGAGGGTATGACGGAACGAGAACTTGATTGTCTCATTCGGGGAGGCCATAAGATTTGATCGACGCGCCCTCCCCCCCGCCATATTTCCGGGGGGTACAGTATCCCCAGATTTTTTCCAGCATGTTTTTTCAATATTCCAGGCGTGAGTAAGGCTTCTGTGCCCCCCGCCAGCGCGCAAGGGGGATGATCCCCCCCACTCGGTGTTTGCCATCGGGATTGGGTTTTCGTCGATTGGCAACGACGTTGTAAAACAAGCCAATTCACTTCGTGAACTCGGCAACCAGGTTACCGTCTTTTTTTTTTTATTTACCTCTGGTTTTTTTTTTGGCGGTAACCATAATGGTGGTCGAGTAGATCATGTTGTGCGGGGTCGAGAAACCTCGCTCCGCGCAACGGGGGATGATCGCACCACGTTGTGTTAAAATGGTCAAGCTTCCTCGAGGCAGTTACACAGTGCTTACAACTGTCTCTGGAAGTGAAAGCACCAGAAAATAAATTAAGTCATACGTAGCTGTCATCCGTACGCAAGGAAGTAAGCACAAGATGCCGAACACCCTTAGCAGGATGCAGCTCACCCTTCATGCGACTCGCCAAATACCTCACGGCGCTTCGCGCTTGGTGATGTGAGAGCCTGGTCCGGTGAGAACCCGGCGTGCTCCGTCCCGGCTTTGTAGGGATGCGAGGTCAATGGTCTAACGACTACGGCATGCACGACTATGAGTACACCCCCCCCCCCCCCCCCCCCGGGGATATTAAATCGCCATCCTTGGGTATCCCCACGACTTGACGCGCGCTGCGGAATGAACCGTGAACAGGGACGCATTCCGCAAAAATTGCGTGATATTTCGGTGCTTCGCGGTGGGGGGATAAGGGGAGGTAGGTTCTCCACGGTTGGTTGTCAATATGGAGGGCCGCTGTGATTGGTCGCCTTGTGTTTTTACTTGATAGACATGTTTTGGCAGACGAAACTGTTTTATGGTTCTTTTCAACACTTGTCGTTTTTCTTGCCCCCAACAAAGAGAGGGGCCGTGTTGATGATGTTGCCGCCACGGACAACGAAGAGCGTTGGAGTGAGATGAAGGAGGGCTCTTTCTTGCAGGCAATCCTTTTTTGGTGGTTGTAGTGTGGCTGTGCGAGGTGGGAGATAAGTACGTTTCTTTGTGTGTGTTTTCATGAATGATTCGAATCGATCTCGCCAGCCGGCTGACCAAGGAAAAAAATCGTCAGTCTTGTTATCATAAGATGACACACTAGAGCACGCTTTCTTTGTGTCGTCGGGCTGGGTACTGCGGAAGTGTGTCTCTTGAGTCTGTGCGTGTTTCTTTAGTTGGGTTGGTAGATAGCATCGATCGCGCCATTTTTTTCTGACCAATGACGACGCCATGTAAATGTTTGGCGCGCCAGCTGAGGTCGCCTAGAACAATCAGAAACAGCAGTTTTGTGACGTGTGTGGAGGAGGGAATGCGTAGTGTCCTGGGCGATGCTTTTATCGCCGGAAGCCCGGCAAGATGATTTATGATTGAAACGCACGTTCGCCTTCACAGGCACCACTAATGACACAGAGCGCCCGAACGGTAAAGTAGCACCTTCCCAATACACTCTGACCAAGCCCCCGCTTCTCAGGGTGTGTAGTGTTTCAAGCTCCCGGGAAAGGTCTAAGGGTTCGGTCGTGGGTGTCGAGGCAAAGAGCTGGAATCCCGTACCATCATTCTAGAACCAAAATGGGTGTGTGCTGTTAATACCAAGGCGTGTTCCGTCGCCCAACCTGTTGCTGCTAGCTGCCAAACACGATGATGCTTGACAGACGCCATCGGCCGGAGTTCGCCAAATGGAGGCGTTTTTTCTTCGCAACCGGCCAGCCAAAACCGTCGGATTTATCGGCAGGACACCTCTGCCCGTATATTATTGGATGCAAGGTTGATTGCTCCACAAGACTGGAGGGTGCGAAACCCGGCCGACGCTTTAATTGCAACATTTTTAGGGCAATGGCAGCTTCTTGAGCGTGGTGGAGCAAGCAATCGAGCTCGCACTTTTCCGGTATCTGGCAATCGAATGACTGCGACCGTTTCTCAGACAAATTTTGTTTGCGACCTCAACGGTCGAATTTTTTTATACACGCATATTTTGCGCCAACGTGTTTCTCCCTCTCCTCTCCCCTGTGCGCGCACCAGCCTGCGGCTGGTACAGTCCTGCTTGCGTAAGCGCCCGTCCATGAAAGCTCGGTTGGGAACGCAAATACTCATCATACAACAGCCCACGGCAGGACACACCATTGTCACCCTTGACTGCTAAACTCAAAATAGTAGCCCCCGCTCTTTTGCGATTGCGCTGGAGGCCTTAGACATACCTCTCAATTAACATGGCTTACGGACAGCAAACACACAATACAAGCTAGAGGCACACCGCTGCGCGACATGTGCCCGTGGAAAATTAAACATCACTGCTCTGTTTGGCAAGACGTTCGAGCTCAAACGATACAAACCCTGATTCATTGCTACGGCGTCCGGCTAGCAACGCCTGAACATAGCAAGCAACTAGCGCTGACTCAGCTCCGCGCGCTGCACTCGTTGTAGCACCTCACGTCATATTCGAAAGCGAAAGCTTTCATGCTTCCGCGATCAGCTTCTTTGATTTCCACTACTCACCGTCTTTACCACATGCGAAATCTTCTCAACAAGGAGCACGCGAAACAAATACAAACCTACGAACCAACGTCAAAACACCAACAACAAAATCCTCCCGAAGGGGCGAATCGAGCGAGCGTTGTCGCCTATCGTAGTGCTGCATGAGTGCAGAAGCCAAACGGTGAGACGGTTCTCGTCTACTAAAACGTTCCGTTCTCCACCCCTCGTATCAGTGTTTCCGAGGGAGGCTTCTGCCCAATTGCAAATAGTACCGAAAGACAAGGCTACACCAACTCAACTACTCTCATGCCGTTCTTCAATATTGCGCCACGAACGCGACACAAGGGCAGAACGGTAGTTGACGGCTAGGCTCCTCCCCCTTCGGCTTGATGGTGACGAAGATCTTCGCCCCCTAGCGGTGACGCCCGTGCTGCTGGTGGTGAACACCACCGCCGCCACCGGGCGCACGCGCGTGCTCCATGTGAGCTGGGGGAGGGGGGGGCATGCCGGCGTCGGGGTGGCAGCGGCGGGGCATCATCATCCCTACGCGGGGCTTGCCGCAGCCCACGGCCCTCATCTTGCCCCTCCCGAGTTGAACCACGTTGCCTCGCGCCTCAGGGGCACAACCACCAGGACCGGCACCAGGACCGGCACCGGGAACGGCACCGGGACCGGCACGACCACCGGCACCGGGACCTGGGCGACCACCGCAGACGCGCATGATGAGGCCGACGGGACCACGGGCGAAGCCGCCGGTGGGGCCACGGGGACCACCGTGGCCCGGGCCGTGGCGCTTGTGGGCGGTCTTCTTCTCGGCTTGGAGCATGGCGCGGAGATCCTTGCCGTCGACGAGGCCGAGCTTGGCCAGCCGGCAGGGGCGGACGTCCAGGGCGACGAGCAGGGGTCGGACCTCGCGGGGGCGGAGCTGAATGCCGCCTGCGATGAAGGCCTTGTGGATGAGGTTCTTCTTGACCTCAGGCGCAACGGCGTCGTTCTTCTCCTCATTGTCGTTGTCGGGGGAGGAAGTATCTGCGGGCTCTACGGAGACGAAGCCGTCGTTCCACTCCTTCTTGTCGTCCTCCAAGCTCATCAGTTCCATGCCGGCGGCGACCGACTCGGCGAGATCCTCGTTGTTCTTGCCGTCACCAAGAGGAACCTTCGATACCTTGGCGTTGTTGGCGGCTTCGGCCTTCATGCGCGGCAGAAGATTCTTGGGAGCGAGGCCCTGCTTGACGAGGCGTTGCGGGTTCAGCTTGAGGAAAGCCAGGGTCTTGACGAGCTTGGGCGGGGTCATCGAGGGCACGCCGTTGTACTCGCGCAGGTTACGGGCGGCGATCTTGTACAGCCTCGCTTCGGAGTCCGGCATCTCAGCAGCCTGAAGTGAAGAGCGAAGAGAGGAGAGGGGAGGGGGTAAGTGCAGTTGTCGGTTGGCAGCAGCTTCTGGACGTCGGGGGTATGTAGATGCATACAGGAGTAACCGCCGACAACGAAACGAAATCAGTAGCTCGGAGAGGTCGGTCCGAGAGGAAACACGGCACTTTATTGCAATCGTTGATCAGACCACCAACAGATGTGCCAATCAAAACAAGGTGGTGCCACATTTCCCGAGACTCATCATCAAGTGAATTGGAGAGAAAATTGCAACTACAGCAGATTCTTGCAAGTGTTGCTGTGGGTAGATGGCCAATAGCCCACAGGCATCCAAGACACGAAAGGGGTAAGCTATCATACGTTGATAGGAAAGGCAGGGCGGCTATGTATTAAGTATCAACCTCTATAGTCTAGGTACAGCAGTAAATCCTGCTGTGTCTGCAAAAGGGAAGAGAACGGAGAGAAAACGCGAGTTCAAGAACGGCATCTGGCTGAACAACAAATAACAGCAGTACTATTGTACGAAGTAGCATGCACGGGGATTGCGAATGTGGGAGGAGAGTATCGCAGCTACAATAGCTGCTACCGTGTGCTACTGCTGTGCTACCTCGTCGAAGTTACAGCAGTTGTGAGCTTCAACTTAGTGCCCTACACGTGTGCCCGCTGCGCAAGACCGCTGTCGGTTTGCTTGACTCTCACCTTTTTTTCCTTGCCGGCAGCCGAGATCTCGAGCGAGCCCGGGCACAGGCGCATGGCCAGCTTCAGCTCGGAATCCTTGTCGAACACGATGTCGTCCCCATCAGGATCCTTGTACGTGAAGGACAGGTCGGTGTCCTTGGCGGCCTCGCCACCGGGGGAGCGGACAGGCAGCTCAGCATCGAAGGCGGCGGCGATGACCGCTTGGAGGCTGGCGAGCGTAACCGGAGCTGGAACGTTCACGTCGCGTGAAGCGCCCTGGAAGTTGATCTTGATGGAAGAGGTAGTCATCGTGTTGTCGTTGTTGTCGCGGTTGTTGTTGTGTTTGATGGTGTTCATGGAGGTTGTGAGTTGTGAGTTGTTGGGGGGCGCACCTGCGAGAGAGATCGAAAGAGCTTTTTTCTAGAACCAAAAATGGTTCTCGAAGTTCCCCCAGAATCCAAAGAATGCTCCTGAAGAACGATCCCGATGTTCTTCTTGAAGGGACTGGGACAGCAGTTTCTTGTTTCTTGCTTTTCAAGGAGCCTTGGTTACACATTGATAGTAACTCTTTAGGACTAACCGATGTTGAACGTAGCAAGGCTAGGTTCTTCACGCGAGCAAGGCTAGGTTGCTCACCCCACATCTACCTTAACCCTACCCTAACCCTAACCCTCACCCACGCTGCTATCAATCAATGTGTAAACACTACCTCCGTTCAAGAACCTTGTTCGAGTTCCGCGAGGTATCACGCGACGCGGGCAACGGCGAACCTCGTCTCTGTGGTACAGTACTGTGTGGGCGCACGTGTCAAAATATCTTGCCGCTACTTTCCGTTCGTTGGTGACTTCGAAGAGCTCTGTTTGCTCTTTAGCATGGACAGCAGCATACAGTAGTCAATTGTGTTGCTACCCAAGGATCTTTGGATCGATGTGGCGGTTGTAATTTCAAATTTGAATAGAGGTGGAAGTAAAACCGATTTTCGAAAGATTCTGAATTTGCGTTCTGTTCTGCGATGAGCGAGCGAGGGGCGAGCAGGCAGAGAGTGGAAGACGTGTGCACTGGTGGTTCGAGGTAGCATTGGAACGCGATGTAGAGCCGAGGATGGCACGCTGCGAGGATTCCGGTCCTCCCCCGGCATTCGTACCTCAGCGCCAGAGGAGAATTGGACATAATCCAAGATGATTCATTATGGGTTGTGTGCTGTGTGGGAGGCGTTGCGGGATGAGAGCAAGTTGATTGAGCTGTGGCGAGCGGAGCTTGCGGAGCTACTGACTGCTGATGTGGTAAGTGGCGTGGTTTCGCACCGCAGCATTTATTGTGTGGAGAGGATAGGGTTGCGAGGTGGCGAGGTGAAATAGCACCGACCGCGGAGTGCGTTTTTTTTTTTTGCGTGTGTGCCTTATGTGCCGTATTGGCTCTACTGCGTGTCTTCTGTACTCGTCGTGCTGTGTACATACATCTCATTTAGCTGCCGGCTGTAGCTGTTGTGGATCACACGTCATCTCCCACACCAGATGCGTAGCGTAGTATCACGTTAGTATGTATCCTGTCGCTGTCGTCAGTTAGTTTGGTCAATGGCAAGCTGTCTACGATCGAGGTGTCAGCCTTAGCCTGTGCGTGTCCTCACTCAAGCGTCAACACAACAGATTGTTTGCCTTGCAAGTGCGTGTGGTGTTTTTTGTTTGTACAGAACCGGCCCGCACTTAAGAACCTCTTATTTCGAGCGAGGCTCGCTTCTTGTTGGCTGCCCCAAGCAGAGCACAAGTTCTTATTTGCTAAGTTCTTATTTTCTCGTCCAGTTCTCCAGAAAAGGTGTGTTCTTGTTCTTTTGTCATCATCGAATGCTCAATTGGTGCACTACTCGCAACTGCACTCGACCCAGAGTTTCATGCCGCAAACACCCCCCTCATATGGGGTAACTGTCAACCGTCTTGGTCCACAAGAGTGACGTTGGGGGTGCGTACCCTTCCCGCCCTACTGACGCTCTCAAGCAAAACCCACGAGCCTATCGCCGCGTCCGGATCTCCGCTGTACTTGTCCAAGGGCAGCTTCATCTTGCGCGTACTGTGGTCTACCTCCAGCTGCACACAGTAGTCGTACAGCTGGCGCTGCGGAGATTGCTGAATGATCAACCCACCGAACCACCCCATGCCCAGCCTAACAAGCACTCCACGTTGCAAAAGCAATCTGTCAAGAGCAGCGGGGGTAGATTCTTGGAGGCGAAAGCCCGCCGGGATCTCCATTCCCTGCGTCTCGTCCTCCGGGTCGTCTGGGTCCATGCTGTCGTCCTCGTCCAAAAGAGCTAGCTCGTCGGTCTGGGATTGAGACATGTCTGCGACAAAGGGTACCGTGAAACACGAGAAGGAACGTACGGGTGTCATCGCCGTTACTCAACTGAAGCACACCATGTGTTCGTAGACGTGACGCGGAAACAGAATATCAGCAATATCCCAAACAGCACAAGGAAAAATGAACAAAAAGGACAATCAACAACGGTAAAGATGAATAAGCTGTAGTCTATGTAGTGCCAATCAAACTCACCGTCGTCGTCTTCATCGCTGTATCCAGCGTCCTCCACGCCCTCCCCGTTGTTGGCACCGTTGCGCTCATCTCCGACGACCGGCTCGCGCCCTCCGGCGCCCTCCTCCTCCCGCCCCCCGGGCCCATCGCTGACGTCCTCCGAACCTCCTTCGTTCTCGCTGGAGTCTTCATCGTTTGCGAAGGTGTACGGCTGGTCCAAACCCTCCAAGGTGATTCGATCATCGCCTGAGCCGTCCACGGTCATCGCCATCCCGCACTTTTCGAAAAGGCGGTGTCGGTACACCTGATTGCTGTTGAGTTTTGCCATGGCCGCTCCCGTCCATTGAGTGATCAGTACGCGCCGGTCAGAAGCTGTCAGCGACGCGGTTTCCCACCTCTCGATGTTGTCCGACTGATCGAGCCACTTGTCCATCTCTTTACCGCCTTCACATGTGCCTTGATCGTCTCGAAGTGACGGTCAAGAATCAGTCCTCGTTGTTTCATCTCCGAGAGTTTGCCAAGATCCTTCAACAACCCGTGGGATAAGGGGTTGGACAGGGACATGATCCCCCTGCACGGCAGGTACCTCGTGGCACGCTGCACACGCTGCTTCGAGTAAATTGAAACATCAACAAAAAAACCCTCCGCGCTGGCACAGGGGCACGATGTATACAGCATATGTACCCCCTGATTATAACCCTTAAAAAAATCTAGAAAGGGAAGTCTAGGTAGGTACCGACTACCCAAAAACCTGGGAACGCCCCCCCCCCCACCTCCTCCTCCTGCTGTGTATGTTCTTCTCTCGCCACCGCGTCACGTCATATATGTTCTTATCTGTAGAACCAGTCGTACACCTCACTGGGGGTTCTTATTCTTAACAGCAGGTCCGATCTGAGCACGTGTTCTTAGGGGCAAGTTCTTAAAAATTGGATTTTTTGAGGCTCAAATTCTTAACGTCCATATTCTTAAGTGCGGGCCGGTTCTGTATTTTCTTGTCACCATCGACTCATCGAATCGACTGACCAGCATCTGCTGGGTCCTGGGTCCTGCAGCACTCTATCATTTGAGTGTTCTGTCGGTACAAAAAAATTGCAGGTGCGTTCCTTAACCTTATCGATACAAGTGGTGGTACTTGTAGATCGAACTGCTTACCACAATATCGATCAGTTGAAACGCCTCGTACAGCAGGACAACAACAGCAGTCGACTCCCGGCGGACCGACGCTTCGGCGTTACTGTAACTGGCGACCAATGAAAAGACGCCTGACACACGCGCCCATACATGGATACATGGATACATGGATACATACACAGGTTCCCCCAATACCATCACCCTTCTCCCAATCCTTCTCCCAATCTCACATCCGATGGTGCTGTGTTCACGTGTTCAACATGAGCCTTAAAACTATTCTCTCTCTCTTGGACACATACTATAGACTGTAAGTAACGTACCATATCAGGGCGAAGTAAGATACCACCCCCCACGACATGTCACACCCGGCGGTTGCTGTTGCCGTCACACTAAGAACCGTGCCGGTCTCCGCTCAAGTGGTTTCTTCTAAATAATATCCTTACCTCGCTACACAGCCACATCTTCAGTTGAGAAGGGTCTTTCGAGAACGAACGCCCGCAGCGGCAATGGATGGCACACGTACATGTTACCTCCGGTAGCTCCGCTTGCTTTGTTTGATCCAGTTATGCCTGACGGTGGTCCTCCACACACCTCTCCTCCGACGAGTCTTCCCCACAAAGTACATATTTTCCAGCAGGCGAGAAAACCGCTTCTCTTCTACCCTCCCTGGTGATGCTCTTTTCTTCATGAACACACGGGAGAGACGGCCCTGGGGAATAGTATGGTCTTCACACACGGACGGTTGGCTCCCCGGGGCTTTGTTATTCGGAGTGAGTACACATGTAGTCAATGCATCTATTATTGAACACAAGTACATGTATGCACACACACAGGGTTTTTGCTCACTATGCCTATCTGCCGATCGTAGAACGCTTCTGGTGGCTGTACCCGCTGACTCGCAAGGGGGACTGGTGGTGGGGCACATATCTCCCAGTGCCTGCTGTGCCATTCTACAGTACCTACCCTATCTTCTACCCTTCCGTAACAGCATGAACACCTCGCAGAAGTGACGACGAGAGTTGGTGGCAACCTCACGGAAGCCGTGACGCATGGGGCGAAGGCCGCAAGGAGGCGTTGGTGTGTAGGGGAGGTCAAGCTGGCTGTTTAGTCTAAGGGGGTCGTACACCACCTCTGAGCCAGGCCTCTTTCGTGTGTTTGCGTGCGTGCGTTTTCGTGTGAATTTGCAGCCGTTCGACCACAAGGAAGCTCAAGTACAAGTACTTGTGTTTCGTTCTAAAACACTGGAGCAACAACGATGCCGGAGGACATACCCTTGCCTACGTGCAATGAGTGTATCGAAGTATTTACAATGTACATACATATCGAATAGTCGATGGTCGAGCGGTATTCGTAGGACCTATTGAAGCCGATCTATAGACCGCTTCAGGCTGTGCATGTCGTGTGTTTATTTAGACTCTGGGTCGTGCCGCCCCCACCAGAATATTCCCTGTGGTTGCCGCGCCTCCCCTCTCCAGACATAACCCGACTGATGCAAAAAAAGTAATACTTTCTCGATTGTGTTCGCCCGCCCCCCTCTTTTTCATGTTCGGAAGGACCCCCTTCCCCCCTTGTCTGTGCGTGTGTGGATTTGCTTGTTTTCACAATAACATCCGCCGCCTATGCTCTCTTGCTCCGGGCTGTCGAAAACTCATTCTCATCTTGCGTGTTTTGTCTACTCCGTCCGTCCATTGGGTTTTCCCACAATTGTGGAGTATCGGCTGGGCAAGTACATAAGATACTGTGGTCGAGAGACTGTTTTGAGCAGCATTGAGGGATCGGATCCAACCGAGAAACCGGTCCAGTCAAGTCGAAGAAAATTCGTTCATAACTCCTCGCGTTCAAATAGCATCAGCACGTGCATGCAATTCTCCATGACTCGCACCAACAAGTTTGGCGGTGCGCGCCAAAGCAGCTAGGTATTGTTTTTGTTTCTTTGGGTGTGGCCATGTGTATCTATTTGCTTTTTGGGGGGTGGGGCAAAAGTTTCCAACTTAACTTCCGCACACGCCTGTCTCCTGCTCCGTCCCTCGTGCTCTTCTCGAAGGTTTTCTCCAGGTTCGAAACAGAGCTCCCCAACATGGCGGAACTTGGGGCTCCCACCGTCACCAGCCCGTCGCGCAAGCCCTTTATTGACCACCACGTGTACGCGGAGAGCCTGGCCGGCGCCCGCTTTTACTTCAGTTTCAAGCACTGTATTGCGGCAGCGCGGGCGAAGCGCCCCCACCTCAAGCGCAGGGGTCCGGGTTCCATCCATGTTCAGGACAGAGGTGTCTGCGCGATACTCGCACCCTGCTGAGCGTGCAGTTTGCGCTTGTATTTGTTCATATCTGGTGCGGGCAAGCGTTGGCTTTGGGCGGGAAAAATCGTCGCCACCCTCGAGTTCTACCTACCACCGGGGCCGACGGGCTTTGTGATCCCGAGGGAAACATTGTCGTACTCGCTGCAGCGGGTGTGGTTGATTCGACTCGAGGTTTCTACACGAGATTTTTGAGTCGCCGTAGGGAAGTTCGGGGTGGTTCTCGCAGTGGCTGACAGGTGTGGGTCTGTGTGATACAAGAGCTCGCACAGTTTGCGTGCATGTGTGCTGTTGTTCCGTGATGCGATGTGCCATGTGCCGAAAAATTGTTTTGAATTGTTTTGCTTGCTCTGGGTAGGATGCATGTACCACGAACGGCGAACGTGCGTAGTGCGTGCTGTCTGTCGTGTTTGGCAGTGGTTTTGAGCGGGTTTGGTTTGAGAGCGCAAACGTTGACTATGTTCCACAGACCAGTCGACGCAACATAACAGAAGTGATGCTGTCCGATGTCCAAAGTACATTTTCTTCTTCGGCGGTGTTCGGCGGTGTTACAAATTATTTTTAGTGGTGACCGTGGTGTATGATCGTGCAGCGTGTGTGAGCGGACACGTCGTTGCATAAGAAGTTTTTACTCCGGCTGGTTCTGCTCGTGCGAATGGACAACTGCTGTACTGACTGTGTTTCGATGTTGCGCGTGCTTTGATGTATATTTTCCGTGTTCGTCCGAGAATTCCGAAGGGGGCGCCTGTGTTTGTAGGCAAGGCCGCGGGGTAGGGAAAGTTGGAGGTGCGAGCAAGACTACCATTTAGTGAAAGCGAAAGCCCGAGGTGAAGGGAAAATAACGACGTGGGCTTGTTGGGGCTGCTGGCCAGGGCAACGAAACAACAATGTATTCACTCAGCCACGCGCAGCTTCAAAGAACAGGGACCTGTGTTGGCGTATGTGTGAATGGTATCAAGCTGTGCTCGTCTATTAAGGGCATCCCACTCTTATTTACCCGTTCAGCGGCCATTGGCCACATATCTCAACACAGTAGTAGTGGATATAGACCGCAACGTACACCCGGCAATGGCCCTACCCCTGCGGAAGAAGAGCGCTTGAGTGAGCTCTGTCTTGACAGGGTATTTCGCGGCTCTCCTTGCAGCAGGAAGGAGTAGTGGTACGCTGGTCGAGAAAGCAATATTTGATGCCATCTGGGCGCGCAACTCTGATGGTGCACCGAGTATGGGGGCGTACCATGCAAACGCCCACATGAAAATCCTGGTTTTCTCGCTCTTTCACCGTCTCGACCGTGTGCGAATTGCATCTTTTGAAGAAAGCGTCCTATGGTGTACTCATGACCACGAAGTAGAACCATAGGTTACGGTGTGACGGACGGGCCATGTCCTGCCGTTGTTGCTATCTTCCAGGTAAAGCCCGTTCTTCAGGCCTATATCTACCTGTCTATCCATATCCAGCACACCTGCTCTTCTGCAGTGTTCAAAGAAAAGCAACGAACCCCGTGCTCATAAGCTACACGCCGAAACATGCCAACCAAAGGGTCGAGGGACATTCAACAGAGTCTCACCACTCGCGGGGGGGGAAAACAATTGTCAAGGACTGTACAGAAGTACTCGTAGTCCAGACATTCTCCCAGTAATTTGTTGCAGGTGACGGTGGTAGAATTTGAATTACAAAGTGGAGAGAAAAGGTCCTCCTGGCTTACTTAGCGAACAAATAGCGCTTCGCCAGGCCATAGTCTATGGCTGAGGACTTGACGAGGCGTTTGTTATTTGTTGCATTACTCCTTTTGCGTGCGCGTGTACCCCGCGGTCGTAGAGCTAAGCTGATGTATGTATCGTCGTCGTTGTTATCGTCCGCGTCGGCGTTGTTGCCATTATCTCCACTTGAGAAACCTTTAATTTTTCATGAACTAACCGTCATTGAGCATCTACCTGCTGTCAAAGGCTGTAGACTCCGTAGTGAACCCCCAAAAGGACGGCACTATGGACGTACAACGGTTCAAAAAAGTTGCTCGTCGTTGCGGTCGCTTCACATGAGAGTGACACTAACGGCAACACTACCACACTACCACCACCAGCATGGGGAACATGGCGCCGGGATCGCATGCATGCCTGCATGGGCATATTTACCCGCGTTTCATGGGGACCTTGTGCATGTATGCATGCGTGGGGTTTTGCTCGGACTCGTTAGAAAGTCAGGCCACATTTAACAATGCTATGTAGTGGAACCCGCCAAGAATCGAACAACAGAACGTGTTGCGAAAGCGCTCGTGCCTCTCGTTGTCATGAGAGGAAGCAGATGAGGGTAGGAAAAAACTTCTGCCAACACCGCAGATAAATGTCATGAGGAAATAAGGCCGGAGTTGTTTTGGTTTTAGGACCTCTTGGGTCCTTCCATATTTCTTCTCTCGCCACACAGTGAGCGGAACTCGCTCTCCCTCCTCTCTCGTCTCTCTCCCATGCCCACATCGATACGACTACTACCATTCACTGATCGACAACTTTCCAGTCCGAAAAATCAACATGGCAAGCGTTCCGACTATCAAAACCGCAAACTGCGCATGCACTCGACGCCGCTCGTACGTCGCTTTGACCACCACTCCAAACTATGCAACCGACACACCGCTGCGCGACGTGTGCCTCCCTTAAACTCCTGATGTAATACCCGTAGTGGGTAGTGGGTGCAGCAGTCCTTCCTTATCCACTTTCATTCCGCAGGTATTAGGTAATACTCCGCGAGCTTTACTCCTCTCCCCGTCCGAAAACGAGATCAGCCCAACCGCTGCAACAATCTAATGCCGCATGCCAACTGCGTAACAATCTCGTTGCTTTACCCCGCTCGCAATCAGCTACAAGGTATGTTACGCTCTGGTTCGCACAGCGACTATATACGACACGCAAACAAACGATTATCTTAACAACGAGAGCACAGAAAAAAACAAATAAACCACGAAAGGCCAAACTCAAAAAAATCAGACAGTTTGATTTTGAAATATATTTCGAGCATATACGCCTATCGTAGTGCTGCATGAGTGCAGAAGCCAAACGGTGAAACGGTTCTCGTCTACTAAAACCTTCCGTTCTCCACCCCTCGTATCAGTGTTTCCGAGGGAGGCTTCTGCCCAATTGCAAATAGTACCGAAAGACAAGGCTACACCAACTCAACTACTCTCATGCCGTCCTTCAATCTTGCCCCACGACACGCGGAACAAAGAGAGAGTAGAACGGTAGTAGACGGCTAGGCTCCTCCTCCTTCGGCTTGACGGTGACGAAGATGCTCACCCCCAGTAGTAGTCCCTGCGCTGCTGCTGGCCAACACCGCCGCCGAAGACACCGACGTAGCCACCACCGTAGCCACCACCGCCGTGAGCCCTGCGGATCGCCATCCAGCGAGGAGGGCCATGGTGGGGGTGGAAACCGGGGTGGCCTCCCTCATCCTCGTCGAACACCTCCGCGTAGTGCTGGTGGGCCGGGTGGAAGAGAGGGCCACCGCGGCGACCACCGCCTCCGCCACCGGGCGCCTCGTGGTCGTCCTCCATGTGAGCCGGGGGAGGGGGGGGGGCGAAGGGGTGGGGGCGGCCGCCGCGCATCATCCTTTTCATCGGAGGGGGCGGGCCGTGGTGGTGCGGGGCACCGCCGTGGAGGTGAGCGGGGCCGTGGCGGTGAGGGGCACCGTGGCGGTGAGGGGCACCGTGGCGGCCGCCGCCGCCGCCGCCGCCGCGCGCGGCAAACATGGCGTCGCCGACCTCCTGGTGAGCCGGGGGGGGAGGGGGAGGCGGGGCGAAGGGGTGGGGGCGGCCTGCCATGCGGTGCTGCTGCCGGTGGTAGTCGCGGTGGTGGTGGCGGCGTTGGTGGAGGGCGGCGGTGTCATCGTTGTTGTTGTCATGGCCGCGACGCTTGTGGGCGACCTTCTTCTCGGCTTGGAGCATGGCGCGGAGATCCTTGCCGTTGACGAGGCCGAGCTTGGCCAGCCGGCAGGGGCGGACGTCCAGGGCGACGAGCAGGGGTCGGACCTCGCGGGGGCGGAGCTGAATGCCGCCTGCGATGAAGGCCTTGTGGATGAGGTTCTTCTTGACCTCAGGCGCAACGGCGTCGTTCTTCTCCTCGTTGTCGTTGCCAGGGGAGGAAGTATCTGCGGGCTCGACGGACACGAAGCCGTCGTTCCATTCCTTCTTGTCGTCCTCCACGCTCATCAGTTCCATGCCGGCGGCGACCGATTCGGCGAGATCCTCGTTGTTCTTGCCGTCACCAAGAGGAACCTTCGATACCTTGGCGTTGTTGGCGGCTTCGGCCTTCATGCGAGCCAGAAGAACCTTGGGAGCGAGGCCCTGCTTGACGAGGCGTTGCGGGTTCAGCTCGAGGAAAGCCAGGGTCTTGACAAGCTTAAGCGGGGTCATGGAGGGCACGCCGTTGTACTCGCGCAGGTTACGGGCGGCGATCTTGTACAGCCTCGCTTCGGGGTCGGGCTTGTTAGCAGGCTGAGGTTACATGTAAAGAGGGAAGATGTGCACAGGGTGGGGAAGGAAAGGCAGGGGGGGATTCAGCGGAGTGCGGTTAAAGGAATTCTTGGAGGTACAAGTAAAATGGGGCCAACTTCTGGACACAGCAAAAAGAATGACAAAACATTTCGATGCGAAAATGCCGGCAACGAAAATAGATTTTAAATAGAAAAATCAGGTCGAAAAGCATTAGCATTCGTCACGGAAAAGGCGCGCATGACTGCTGTGCACACGTGCACACACATTGGGGCGATTCAACGTTGGCAAAAATATGATATGTGGGGGGGTTGGAGATATAGCATCGGACGTTAGTTTTTATTGTCCTGGTTCTGCAGGGGATTACAGCAGAAGAATTCATATACAGTACCGGTGCCCTGCTGTCCTGTGTACAGCAAAAAAATACAGCAGCGGCAGCAGTGCATGCATCAATGTACAGCAGAAGATTGTTTCTCTCTCCTACTGTACAGCAGTACACCTCGTGTCAGACCGATTTTATCGAGTTTTGAAGGCAGTCCACAATGGAGACAATCGCCACGTATCGTATCGGGCGATACCATATCGTACCTGGTGATACCATGTGATCAATGATAGCTCTCGGCAGATGATGTAAGTAAGACGGCGAAGGTCGATACGGAGATCAGCTCAACAGAGGCGCCGACAGCCGAGAGAGATAACCCGAGATTTGCGGGGCCGAAGAACTTCGATTAACATAGTGTCTCGCCCAGCTCAAGAAGCAACCAAATATAAAATATCTCAACAACGAATGGAGCAGCGCGAGCACGGGAAAAGTATCGCAGCACGACTAGTTACTACCCGTCACAGCATCGAAGCCTGCGCCCTACGAGTCCAGTATGTGTGCCCGCTTTTTCCTCGGCTACACCGTGATTATTTGCTCTCCTTGACTCCTTGAAGAAGAGCAAAACACCTGTTGTTGTCTCTTCGCTCACCTTGTTTTCCTTGCCGGCAGCCGAGATCTCGAGCGAGCCCGGGCACAGGCGCACGGCCAAGTTCAGCTCGGAATCCTTGTCGAACACGATGTCGTCCCCGTCGGGATCCTTGTACGTGAAGGACAGGTCGGTGTCCTTGGCGGCCTCGCCAGCCGGAGAGCGGACAGGCAGCTCAGCATCGAAGGCGCCGGCGATGGCCGCTTGGAGGCTGGCGAGCGTAACCGGAACCGGAACGTTCACGTCGCGTGAAGTGCCCTGGAAGTTGATCTTGATGGAAGAGGTAGTCATCGTGTTGTCGTTGTTGTCGCGGTTGTTGTTGTGTTTGATGGTGTTCATGGAGGTTGTGAGTTGTGTGGGGGGAGGGCATGGCATGGACAGGCGAGCGAGAGAGACTGGAGCTTCTCGAAAAAAGGTTCTTCACGTTCCCCAAGAACCAAAGAACGCTCCTGAAGAACGATCCCGATGTTCTTTTCGAATCTCCTGTGTGACCGTACGTACTCAGAACACGTGCACGTAGCACTGCTGCTGTAGAGTCATCGTGAATGTTTGCTTGACACGCGTACACCCTCGCCGGGGTGTTTTTACAAATGTTTTTTGTTGTACGGAGGTGTCAGCCAGACTTTGTGGAGGTCAACGATACCGCGGTTTTTATTGTCTCATGAATTCTACAGCAGTAAGGACACGTTGTCGAGGAAAAAATAAAGTAATAGCACACCAAGCACATCGACTTGCAAGTATTCTAGCACGGTCGTATGCGGTGGTTCGACTTTGGACATTCAGTCGGTTTCCACGAGTACGCAAGCCTTCTGAGAGAGGCGCTAGAGGCGCTGCCACGGCTAAATGCTGGGCTGGGTTCGGGCCGTGCAAAGGGAATTCATGAGCACCCGAAGCCCCGTGCTGCTTATAGATTTGTTCCACCCATGGATTCGGTTGGAACATCACATCTCGGCATGACATGTCCTCTAGACTACTGTAGAAAGGATAAGAGACTGATACTACTATGAACATAAATGATGCGTAGATAGGACCTGATTTGGATGCGCCGACCAGGCACGTAACGCTCAGTGCGAACAGAGAAACCGATTGTTTCGGGGTAGCGCTCCCCCCCCTCCCCTCCCCCCGATCGCGCTCCCCATGGGGAGTTATGGGGAGTTGGAAGGCGTCCAGCGGAAACATGATGCTAGTTGGTGTGCCGCAAATCCTACCAAGTATAGCAAAATTTCAGCCTCAACACCAAACCAACCGTAAAACCCTCTCTACCTAGACTATGCCACATATGCACGTAACCCAATCTCCGTTTCCAGACGTTTCGTCGTCGATGCCCCCCTCTCCCCTCCCCCCGGCATGTCCTAGTCCCCCCGAAGTTGAACGTTGTCAACCTTCTTCTTCGTGCGGCGAGCAGAGAGTCCCGCACTACTGTACAGGAGGCCACAATATTTCGGATTAAGCCAAACTATGCTACACAGCAGTATCAACAGCAGTAGCTGTGTTTTCCAGCAGGCCTTCTTCTTGAATCTCCCTGGAGAACCGTTCCACCATGGTGACATAGTCGGGGACGGGTCCATCCTCTGTGAAGTGTGTCGATGGTTCCCAAGTCTCGTACAGTTGGTCCTCCGCTGAGGCGTTCCTACCGCACAGATAGGGCAACGGGTACAAGACGCAGAAGACTGTGAGGGAATAGCTTTGTGGTGTTGTGTTTGATGCTATTGCCACCTTCACAGTTGTTCGGCCATCTACACCCGGTTTACCTCGACAAAATCCGGTGATTTCACCACGGTAAACATCTTCCCGTGGTAAGAATGTGGCGACATTCTAGGCACGTACTCCAGAATATCTGAACAGAGCGGGGAGGTCTGTTGTGTGAGACCGTCCAACGTACTACTGTCCATCAGTCTACAACATCACGTCGACAAAAAAACGAAGATCGCTGAGCAAGAGATCCCGTGAACACCGCAGCTACATCATCCAACAGCGAGCGGCACTAAACAAAGCACTGGACAGCGGACGTAGGGAGGTGAAGGAATCACCAAGGGAACGGCAGTGTCAATCAGACATGACTCCAGCGGAGCAGCTCAGTCTGGGGTTCCACCACGAAAAACAACACTGGTTGCCTGTAGCGGACCAAGCCTCTCACATCTCTCTCTCACCATACATAGCACGTTGCCGTTTGGGTTGCGTCTTTACACGCCTCGACCTTGACTTGGACGTCCACCTTGTGGTAGTCTTCATCCTCAAACAGATCAAAGATCAACTGGGTGGTGTTGAAGCACAACACCACGACAACACGGGGTCGTGGCGAAAGGCGACCAAAAAAGAGGGCAGGTAGCGCACGCGAACAAACTTGTGGTGAACGGCCGGGTTGGAGTTGTTGTTTTACGTGGTTCGAATAGACACACCCAAAAACAACAAAGACGCGATGGTCAAGCTAACACAACACAGGCGGTGGCAGCGACGAACAATATACTACCGCGGGACCGGCAAACTCTTACTCGAAAAAAAAAACTACTACACTCAACAATCAATAAAGAGCGGGGGAGAGGTGGGATCGGTAGGTCGAAAGTACCGCCTTGATTGAAAGTGCGGGGATATAAGAATACCCCCAGGGATGTAGCGATGCTAGGGATGGGAGCCGTAAGTTCTATCAACTAAACGGCCAAGCAAACTGCATATCCTGTACGGTTGCCGTTCCCCAAACAAAACGGTGTCAGCGGAAGACCCACGAAAGCAAAGCAATATCCATGTAACAAGAGAGGGGCGTCGTGGAATAACACACGGTGAGAAGCGTAAAGCCAAAACATTTTACCCGAGATAAGCCACTGCGAATCAAGACGGTGTAGGTGGCAGCTCTACGAGGTTCGAGAGAGATTCGACAGATGCACCGGGGGGGGGGGTGTACTCATAGTCGTGCATGCCGTAATCGTTAGACCATTGACCTCGCACCGGGGGGATGGGGGAGGGGGGGGTACTCATAGTCGTGCATGCCGTAGTCGTTAGACCATTGGCCTCGCATCCCTACAAAGCCGGGACGGAACACGCCGGGTTCTCACCGGACCAGGCTCTCACATCACCAAGCGCGAAGCGCCGTGAGGTATTTGGCGAGTCGCATGAAGGGTGAGCTGCATCCTGCTAAGGGTGTTCGGCATCTTGTGCTTACTTCCTTGCGTACGGATGACAGCTACGTATGACTTAATTTATTTTCTGGTGCTTTCACTTCCAGAGACAGTTGTAAGCACTGTGTAACTGCCTCGAGGATGCTTGACCATTTTAACACAACGTGGTGCGATCATCCCCCTTGCGCGGAGTGAGGGTTCTCCACCCCGCACAACATGATCTACTCGACCACCATTATGGTTACCGCCAAAAAAAAAAACGAGGTAAAAAAAAAAAACGGTAACCTGGTTGCCGAGTTCACGAAGTGAATTGGCTTGTTTTACAACGTCGTTGCCAAGCGACGAAAACCCAATCCCGATGGCAAACACCTCGCACCGGGGGGGGGGTGAAAAACGATGTGTTCGGGTGTAAAGCCACGGTTCTAGAAGTAGGCCAAAACAGTCCGCGAACGACGTAGTCGAGCATGGCCAATCGCGAACTCGAGCACGAGAAGAGCTGGTCAAGACTTCGAACAGCACGGCCTGTACCGATAAGGGGAGCAGGCCCAAGCATTTCGTAGCCCCCCGCCTGGTACCGTGGTAGAACTACACTGCGGTGGCCGAGGAGGAGGATACTCATGGTACACGTTGTGAGAGCGGGCAATCGGGTACAGTATAAGGCATGACATCTACGCGAGAAACAAGCGCGGGTGCGCTTTCTATCGCCCAGTGCGCGTGATATTCCGTTGCGGGAGTCGTCGAGCACACGGTGAGAAAGCGCCGCGTTTGGATCTCCCTCAGGTGCCACGCGAATATACATCTCTTTGCGCTGAGAACCTATGAACCTCACTACTTTCTAACATTGTGGGGCTTCCACCTTTTCTCGGGCGTCGAGCCCTGTCATGAGCAGCCCTTCCACGGACCCCCCCTCTCTTGGCCGGATAGCCGGGAAGACGTGGTCCTTTATCCGGAAGCGGTGGTACCCCGAAAGACTCGCCTTTCTCGTCGACGGAACTCTCTCGAGCAGAGCGAACAGAACCTGTTCCGTCCAAACGCTCTTGGTGAGATTTTTCAAGCGGACAATCAACGCGCTATAGTAGTTCTGGGGTATCTGCAAGAAGAGCTGACGGCATTCTGTCAGTACGCGGCCTCTGGGCGAACCCTCTTCGAAGCAACAAAAACAGCTTGGCGACAGTTCGTCCTATGCGGCTAGGTGGTGCGTGTCGTCTACACGGCAGTGTATCAACGATGAATACCGTCCGTGCGTGTAGACACGAATATTCACAGAACTACCTACCAAAGATACTGACGTGGGTAGGCAGCAAGTAAACTGATCGCTACAAGCATTCAAGTTCACACCAATGCTTATACATACGAGTACCAGCAGTAGGCGGGAGTTTCTGGCACCTTTTCGTTCATTAGAGTGCCATAAACAAACAACGGCGTATCCTCCCTGGGCCCATCCGCAACACTCGGAGAAGCAGCACTCGCAGCCGCCGCCCCCACCGGTGCAGCGTCCTCCATCAGGCCGAACGCGGCCCAACGAGTTCTATTTCGGAGACGGGGCAAACTCGGACGCAAGTATTTCTCGCTCTCGCTTCGTTGGGGCTGCTGCCGGGCGGGCCTCCCGAGAGTGCTGGTGCAGCTTCTGGCAGGTAGGGAAAAGGCTTCATGCGCAAGTGGTGCAATGATGTAACAGAGGCCAGCGGGAGGAAGGGGCGAATGGCGGCGATTTGTGGGTTGTTGTTCTTCGTACAGCTTGCGTCCCATTGTCTATCCTACAAACACATTTTTTTGCATGTAAGTACAGCAGTACAACAGCAGCTGCTATCGGCGTTCTGCATTGCATCAGACTTACAGCAGTTGTTATTTTTCTTGTTTTTTTTTTGTCTTCATATTAAAGTCGTGTCAGTTGCTAATCCCAAAATCTAGCAAAGACGCGGTCCGTGGTCACAAAAATAGAGTAAAGTATTTTATTTCGACTACTTGTATGCATATTACTTTAAGACTATAGACATAGACTACGCTGTAGGTAGGACATGGACAGTTGAATATTTCTGTACCATTTGTGTTCAACGCAAATAAGTGTACATCGACTTTGCACACCCCGTGGTACAGCAGTAACTACAGTATAAATCTGTCCAGACTTCCTAATCTTATTTTGTGTGTAGACTATGCGTCGATGAACAAACACTTTCGGGCGTCTCAAACCCGTACACAGGTATCGTACGTACACAGAACAGGCGGGCTCTGCATATCCCTTTTCAAAGCACGCCAACCTATGGCGATTGACTTTCTACACACCTGACCCTGTTCTGAACACGACAAGCAGCAGCAGTATCGTCGGTGATGTTCCCGGCCTAGAGCGAACGTGCTCAACCATAACATATGACAGGCACAGCAACCAGCAACGAGACAACACACACACACCGACACGACCGACGCGGCAAGAATGCGTCACCGCCCCCACCCCCTCATCCGAACTTTCCCATAGGCGGCCCCCCCCCCTATCCCGGGTTTGCCCGGGTTGCGGGTTGCTCTTTCGGTGTCTTCCCTCTCACACTCACGCGTGGAAGAGAGCGGGTGAGAGAGAGGGAGAGCGGGAGCTGGAGCGCCTGACTCTGCCAGAAAGGTGAGGCAGGAGAGAATGAGTGTGATTCGTCGGCGTGGACGTTTGGACTCGTTCACGATCGCCCGGGCCGAAAGAAAGCGCAAGCAACCTTGAGGGGGTCGCGTTTTGGTTTGCAGGCGGGGGCAAGTCGTCGTCCTTGTTACACCGGCACGCCCATCACGGCCGGCCACTGCAATATCTTTTGGCGCAGCGCGCCACTGGCACATGTGACGGGTTCACTTGCGGCGGAGCTGTCGGCGAGGCTTTGGCACGAGCAGGTCCTGGCAGTGATAGTCGGCGCAAGAGTTACTAGCCAACGAGGGTTTTGGACTTTTGGACCAACGGCCGAAGCGATGATTTTTGACGAGAGAGGGAGGGCCTCCGGGGTGTGGGGTCCTACACATACCCGACCCCCGCCGAGCTTGGTTGCGGGGTGGCTGCCCGATTGTCGCGGCGTCGCATGATCGGCTCGGCATTCTCTGGTGACCTCTTGTCCCATCTGTTTTGCTGGAATAGCGGAGCCGGCAAGCGTGCTGCCGTTTGGGGCGGGGTCGGGGGGCGGGCTAAAGGCTAAAGAGAGGGCATTGAAAAAAAGAAAAAAAAAAAGAAGCGGGACAGTGAGTGCTGTTGTTCTCTCCTTCACCCTGATCGCTCTTTCTCCCGCCTGTGCTCCCTCCCCGCAGTGTGTTGTGCCAAACAAATGAGGCAGCAGATGGGGTTGCCGTGAGAACCACCGCTGTTTCAGACAGCAGCATCGTATGTTGATGAATTCGACGGGGGCGAGTTTGTTATGGTTGTAGACTATATCCCATGCGCTCGTTAGATATTTAGCAGGTTTCAAGTCTCCGCCAGTTTCCTGCTGGAAGTAAAACCGAAGCAGGGCACCCGGCCTCAAACACCCAACCCGTGCCTCCGTGTTTCGTGTGCGTGTTCCCCAGGAGCTTTTTGCGGTTCGTTCAATAAGGAAATAGACGGAGCGAGAGAGAAAAACAAAGGACGGCAGAAGAGAAATGGGGAACGGGGTGTTGGCAGAAGGCGGTTGGTAACCCGAAGCGAAAAGAAGACCCTCAGTAGTATTGCGGGACGGGGGTGAGCACAAGGTCCAGTTCCCGTTGAACTAGACCCGAAACTGGCGTGCTACTACGACGGTGGATCACGACAAGCTCCTTCTAGAGAGGCGCCGGTATCTGCAGCTACACTGTTACTGCCAGTACGGGAGAGAGGAAAGTCTACGCTTTCGCAGGAGCGACGTTAGTTCACTCCAGTGGGCAACATCGGCTAGCGTTGTATAGCGTTCATTATGCAGGAGCAGCACCAGCAGCAGCAGCAGGGCGGGGATGCCTCGGCGGACAAGGAGGTGATGGCTATCCTTTCCAGCCCGGCCCAGCAAAAGAAGTTCGTCGTCAAGCCGCAGCCCCGCCCCGGCGGAGCGTTCCCCGCATCCCCGGCGGCCAACGGCAACGCCGCTTTCGTCCCGCCTTCTTCTGTGGCCGCGCTGGGCAGTGATCTCCGGGATACCACCGCTGCCCTACCGGGGGGGCGTTGCGGAGCTGTGGAGGCGGTTGTTGGTGGGGGCGGTGGCGCGGGGGGGATTGGTGCCGTTGATGCTACCGGACCGGCCGCTCCGTCGCCGCCGCAGACACCGGGGCTGCCGAAACCGTCCAGCGCTTCGTGGGACCCGCACGTGCAGAGCTCGAGCAGTGCGTTTTCCGTCCCGGCTGGCAGGGGCGGCGGAGGCGGGAGGGCGGAAGGGTCAGGAGGCGTCGGGGCTGACGGTGGCGGTGGCGGTGGCGATGGCGGCGGAGGGGTGTGCAGCGCTGGGATTGGATCCTTGAGTCTTGGAGGCTTTCGATCTGTCGGCGGCGGCCCCTTCCAGGTGTGGGTTCGGAGTTGAGGAACGCGGGGGGGGGCTGGTGTCTCGTCAGATTTGGCGGCAATCAAAAGGCTCTATCTTGTTGTTTTGTCGGCGTCGCTGCCGCTTCCAAATTTTTTTTTGTCTGTTTGCGCAGTCGTTCCTCCTGTTGACATTTAGCATCAATCGACGTACGTAGATTCTCCCGGCACCACAATTCCTCTGTGTGTTGTTGTGGTTATTTCCTGCTGCTTGACGTCCCTCTAGCTCGGTAGGAACAACTGTCGGAATTCTCGAGCCTCAGCTACTGGTTTCTCTGCCTCTCTCTTTCTCTCACTCTACACGCAGCAGTTGAGCACAGAGTTAGTATCGCATAAAGGAGCCGGCGTTCTGTAGGCGAAAAAGCACCAGCCGAGATGTATCTATGGTGGAATACAACAGTACCCTCTACACGAAACACTGCTGTTGAGATATGGGACTGTGACCGCCAATTAATGCACGAGCCATCGCCCCCCTTGTCGAAAGACCGATGGATCGACCGGTGGAAAACCCGCCTTCGACTACTCCCGATTCTTGCCGATCAACAAGTTGACCATTGGCACAATAGTGTAGCCTGTACACGGCCGGTCGCCCAGCGAGTTTGTAGCCATAGTAACGGCGTGACACAGGTGGAACATTGAAGTGGCCTCATCCTCTGAATAGTGCCGGGTCTGCAGAAGACGGGCGAAATCCCTTCGGCACTAGGCGGCCCTGCGCAGGAACCACTAAAAAGTGCTGTAGGTCAACCTCTTGACAGTATCGCCGCTGCTGTTTTTTTGTCGTGTCGGGCAGGATCGCGCGCCTTTGTCCCACCAGGCGGCCTCCGGCGACGACCGCAGCAGCACCCGCCGGCAGGGAAGGGGTGGCGGCAGAACCCCAGGCCCGACTCGAGGCCCGCGGTATCCGCTCGAGGACTCCACGCTAGGTCACAATTCCGGTGCTCTGGGAGGTGGAGCAGAGACCGAGGGCATGATGATGCAGTCGAGCGAGGATTTCAGCCACTCCGAAAGCGCCGCCGCAGCAGCGACAGCGACAGCCGCCGCCGCGGTGATACCGGGCGGCCTTCACCTCCCGCTAGCGTACGAAGGATACGGCGGTGGCGGCGGCGGTGGCGTTGCCTACGAACAGCGGGGCGATGCTAGCAGCTACGGCAGCCGCTCTGCAGCTGCAGGTGCGGGCGGTAGCGGCGGCGAACCCTTCGCGCATGCTCACGACCAGCGCCTGCATCGCGGCGGCGGTGGCAGTGGCGCGGGGGGCGTCGGTCAGCAAGCTGCACGGAGAGGAGCGGACGACGGCGGAGGAGGAGGAGGAGGACGAAGCGAGGGGGGGTTACCTCGGCCGGGCAGCAACGGCGACGTGACGGGGCTCCGGAGGTCGTTCGACTCGGGGCTTGCAGCAGCGGCGGGGGGGCACCAGCTGCCGTCGATGGCGACGGAGAAGCCGCCACCGGGCGCGGCCGCGGAGGGGAATGCCGTCCACGGCGGCAGCAGTACGGCGGGCCCCCCGGTAGACAATTGGGGGATTCTGCAGTACGGGCTCACGCTCGAGGACCCGGTGGCTGGGCACGGGTCGGATGCCCCGTCGGCGGCGGCGGCGGACGGAAGCCAACGGCAGCAGCGTTTGAGCGAGAAGATGGATTCGGCGGGCCGGTCGACTGCCGCGGAGGGGAGGGGCGGTGGTGGTGGCCAATTTTCTGGGGGAGATACGGGCGGGGGTACCAGGGGGAGCGGTAGGCTGGGGGGCCAGGGTGCGTCCTCCTCGTCGTCTGCGAGCGTCGCGATGATGATGGGATCGTTGTCCATAGCAGGAGACCAGTCGGCGGCGGGCCAGCGGTACGGGGCGGGGAATGAGCTTGGTCGTGGCGGCGGCGGCGGCGGACAGCCCGAGGACGGCGTCAACTTCGCTGACGACTACGATCTTGTCGGCCCGCCCGACGGGGGCGGTGGCGGTAGCTTCGGCTTTCTAGATACCCCTCCTCCCTCCAACTACGAGCCACGACACGACGACCGCGCCCCGCTGCAGCAGCACCACCAGCAGGAGCAGGAGCAGGAGCGACAGCAGTCGACGGCTCCTCGTACTCCTCTTCACCCCCGGCGAGGGGTGGGCGGATCGCCGTCTCTAACCCCCCAACCGAGACGTCTCCCGCACGACGTTGGGGGCTTTCCGGCGAGCGGCGCCTCCGCCGCCACGGGCGGAGGGGGGGGGGGGAACGTGACCGCGATGAGCACCGACCACCTGCACGGCAGCGGCAGCAACGGCGCCGTGGGTGGAGGAGCCCCCCTGGCGAGCGGCCTGCTCCGGTGGTCCTTCCCCCCGCCCGGAATGCCGGGACACCCGGGAGGGGTCACCGGCGAGGGGGACGGAGCCGGCGGGGGTCCCATGCCTTCGGGCTTGGGTCGTTTGAGCGGGCTGGGGGCGCTGAGTGGGGTAGGTGTGTCCGCGGGCGATGTCGGCGGTGGCGGCGGCGACGAGAGGAGCGGCGGTGAGCGCGGGGAAGGGCAGCATTGGTCGTCGACCGTGCAACCGGTGGCGGCGGAGTATGGCGTCTCCAGGAGGCTCGACTACGGCGAAGGGGGTGGGATCGGCGAGGAACAAGGGGGCGGCGACGCTGGCGCACGAGACAGGAGAGGAGGAGGAGGAGGAAGAGGAGGAGGCTTATCGGGTTCTGTCGACAGCCACCAGTATGCCTTGCTGCGTGGGCAGCGCCGTGAACTCGAGGTACGTACGTGGGTATGATTTGAATTTTTCTGTCGCTTAACTTATCGGATTTGGGATGAACGCCCGAAGAACCGAGTCTTGGGCCCGCGAGGGAGAGTCTTTCGTGTTGGCCAGGAGTACGGCCGCCGCTACATGTACAGCAGTACCAGTGCCATGCAGTTTATGGTGACTGCTCGCCTTTGGGCCCCTGCTCTTGTCGCACTTTGGCGAGTTGGGGGACGAAACCCGCGCGTCCCCCCCCCCCCCCGCGCGTCCCGGTCTCCATGACGCACCGACACCACATGCATCAGTTCGTGAAAGCACGTGCGAATCCTATGCATTGGTCGCAAGCGGCAGAGCGCCTGCCGTTTACGTGTGGCTCTTGTCGCGCGGAATCGCTTCCCCCGCGTCGTCGCAGCCGCCACCAGTGCTGCCAGAGCCTTGAACCAACAACCCGACCATGCTGTACCTGCGTCCCCCCTCCCGGCTGTACACGCTCATCGTCCACCTTGTTCCGTGCGGATGACCCTCGCGTTTTGTGGCGTGTGTCCAGTATCGCGGAGGACTCTCTCGCGGAGGCGGGGAGGACGGCGCAGCAGGAGCCGGCGACTATCACTACGGCTCCACGCCGTTTGACGGAGGTAGGGACGGGGGCGAAGGCGGCCGCCGGGGCGGGCTGGGTGTCGGGGGCAGCGGCGGCGGCGGCGAGTGTGGTGGCGCTGCTGCTTCCGGTCGTCATGCGGTGCAGGCTACTACCGGCCGGCAGGAGGCGGCGGGTGGTGGTGGTGCAGCGACAGCGGCCGCGGCAGCGGCAGCGGCAGCAAGCTTTCCTCGTCGCTACGACTACGTTGAGTACAGCACGCCGATGGAGTTCCAGCAAAAGCAGCAGCAGCAGCAGCGAGTGAGTGATCTAGAGGTTGCTGTAGGAACATTTTGGTGTCGTTGAACGTACAGTAGGTGGTCTTTTTTCGCCAGTCGTTCTGAATGCCTTTGGCCTGGACATATTGTTTCCACAACGCAGTTTTTCGAGCAGGGACAACAGACAGCGGTAGACCACACGTTGACTCGCGTAGGCTGGCCTATCGAGGGTCCCTCCGGGTACCTCGCCCAAGAGTTGCCTACCAAGAAGTACGAGGAACACGCCAGTTAGAGACGAAACCCGTGGCCGACGACGTGAATACACATGTACAACGCTGCGCAGTTCACATTAGTTTGGTGCCCTGCTGCCCGACTTTCTGCCCGGTGCTCATGACATCACACCCCTCCTTACCGCCAACCAACGACCTACGGTGTAAGGAAGGAACACCCGCGATGCCTTCGTTATTTTTGTATCGTTCTCTGTCACCATCAGCTCCACCATCTTGTTCTCTTCCCCCCTCACCTGCCACCGACAGGCACTGCCGGTGGCGGCGGCAGAGCGGGCCGGGCGCCATATGGCGGGGGGTAGCGGCGCCGGCGCCGGCGGTAGAGAGCTGGATTTTTCGGACGGCTACACGGCGCACAGGAACACCTCCTCCGGCGGCCCCCAGGTCACGAGGCACAACGTGGTGAGTGTAACGGTAACGGTAGGGATAGGGCGTTGAGCGAGGGGGGACTCCAAGGGGGTCCGTCGTGTCCCACGATTATGTTTGTATCCCGGTCGGTTCTGCACCAATACGACATCTCGAGAACCCTGCAACGGGAAACTTGAAACAAATCGCCGAATGTATGTGCATTTTCTAAAAGCACCCGAATGCTGCCCTGTCGCTCCAGCGCTACGACCCCGCGTACGACGGAAACCCTAGCGGAGGCGTGCCCTTTGAGGGGGAAGGGGCCCCGTACGGAAGAGGCAGGGGTGGCGTCACCGGCACCGGTGTGCGGGTCGGCAGCAGAAGCGTTGCTGGCGGGGCGGGCGGGGGGATGTATGACGGTGGCAGCCACCTGTACGAGCAAGGGGGGGCCCGGGGAGGAGAAGAGGACGGTGCCCCCTATGACGTTGGCGGGGGCGGCAACGCCGTGGCTTCTTCATCTCAGGGATACGACGGCCGTGGCGGCGGTGGTGGCGGTAGGTACCCCACCCCCGCAGGTCGGCAGCAGCCTGGCGCGTACGATGCTCCTGTGCCTCATTTTTCTTCGTCGGATGACGCCTGTGCGGAGAGGGAGTTCCAGGCCCGGCAGAGGCGGCAGCAGGGGGACTACCAGTCTCACCACGATTACCAACAGCAGCAGCAACAGCAGCAGCAGCAACAACAACAACAACAACAACAACAACAACAACAACAACAGCCCGAACAAGAGTACTCGCCACCGGATCACGCGTCGCTGTCTTCGCTGGCCAGGCAGCAGCAGCCACAGCAGCAGCAGCAAGACCTACGGTGGAGCGGCACCGATCCGTCCTCCACGCTCGCTCAGGCCGCCGGCGGCGGTGGCAGAGAGGCGGCGTCGCAACAACAGCAGCGGCCCTACCCCCAGCCGCCGCCGCCGCCGCCACCGCAGCAGCAGCAGCAGCAGCAGCAGACACAGTTTCTCCCGAGCAAGGGGGCAGGAGGAGCATCGTGGGCTAGTAGCCGCATCGGCTGCGTCGAGCACCGGACTGGCCCCGCCCCCGGCGGCGTTGGCGCCGCCGGCAGCAGCGGATCGCAGCAGAGCTTCTCGGGCTACGGGAGCAGCCCGCCGGACAGGCAGCAGCAGCAGCAGCAGAGAACCGAAGCTTCTTCTACCCGCGGTGGGGTCCCCGCGGGTGGTGACGCGTACGGGGTGCACGTGCCGTCGCCGTCCCGGCTGCCGCCACAGGCGGCGGCGGGGGCGCAGGGGAGGATGGGAGCGGAGCAGCAGCCCGGAGCCGGCGGCTACGGCGTGCCGTCCCCTCAGAGAAAAGGGAGGGGGGTGCCGGAGAGAATGATGGCGGGACGAGGGCCGCAGCAGCAGCAGCAGATGTACGGCGCTGGTTCGGGTCCTGCCCACCCTCCGCTTCAGGTGAGGGGAACTCGTGTTTTTTCTTTTGCGTGGACGATTTTGCGCTTTTTTTTTTTTTTTGGGCTGTGGGGATACTGCAGTCACCCTCCCGCAAGATCTTTGCGGTGGTTGAAAAGGTTGGGGCGTCTGATGCGCCTTATGTGGATGAATAAACCGCACGATCACAGCACACACGCGCGAAAGAGACCGGACAGAGCCATGTACCCGATGCGGTTGCTCCTCGCCCTTTTCGAGTCGCCGATTTATTGTTCCGGAAACAGACCTAGACATGTGAGTACGCGTATGCAAGGCGTGCTGCACGGCAATGTCCTTTGATATCGCCCTCGCCCATCCAAAGACAGCCGGTAAAGAAAAAGACAAGCTTGAGTCGGCGCCGTGATCGCTCTTTTTCTCCTTTCGCCCGTCTACCTACCTACCTTCGAGTTCGCCGCCGGCATTATGTTTTCTCTTTCACTTGCAAGATGCCGGCGCCCCCAGACGCATTCCCGAAGAGCGAAGAGCGTTGCGGTACTTCAAGCAGCGCTGACATCTCGACGGCCCTGATTAGTATTCTGGACGTTGAGAAGAAACGCATGTGCAGCACGCGTGTGTGTTTTGGTATTTGACCTGGAGCTGTATGACTCCGTTTCTACGGCGCCAACCCCTACCCAAACCAACCGCCATGTTGCCACGAAATGGCGGTTTTTGAACGGCGTGGTGACCACAGGATCGGAGGGTAGCAGCGAGGCTGCAGCAGCAGCACCACCATCTTCCCCAGCAGCAGCAGCAGCAACAGCAACAGCAGCAACGGCAAGGCTACCGCGACCCTTCTCCTTCCCGAGTCGCGGCCATGAGCCGGGCAGCGTCTGGGCCGCAGCAGCAGCCGCCGCCGCCACCCCCGGCGACCGGGCTCGGCGCCTTCCCCCGCAGCTCCTCCGGACCGTTGCAGGGATCGTACCACGCCAACTCTCGTCCCGGTGTCGGCCTTCCCGCCCGAGGAGGGGCAGGGCAGGCGGGCGTGGAGGGCGTAGCGGGGGCGAGGGCGGGGGGGTCTCGCGGCAACAGCCCCCACCGGCAAGCGCCCCCCGCGAGGATGTACGTGTCCGACCCCAAGTTTTCTGCGGGCGGGGCCGGCGGCGGTGGAGGAGGAGGAGGGCGGTACGGTTACCCGGAAGGTGGGGGCCCCGGCAGAGGGGATGGCGGTGGGGGTATGATGCAAAGGCCGCCCGGCCAGGGGATGTACGGGCGCCAGCAGCACCAGCAGCACGGAGGCGTCGGGTTGCTGGTCGGGCAGGTGAGAGAGGGAGGCTCCTTGTGTGTATTAAGTGCCTTGCTGCTGCTGCTGCTGCTGCTGCTGCTGCGTGAGTGCTCTGGGGGTTTCTTCGTGTTATGTGCGTATCCCTTCGCGCTTGCTGGTTTTCTGCAGCAGCTATAGTAGTCCGTCTCACGTGTTAGTACGTGGCAGCCCGCTAAGTCGTCAACGCGCCTACAACCCGGGTAGGGTTGCTTCCATGACTCTGGAAGAGCGATAACTGGCGAAGGTGCTCCGCATACCTCAGTCGTTCTGCTCCTGTCCCAGCTGCTGTAGGGGTGTGTCTGCTTTCGTACTGGAGGTAAGGTCACGAATGGTGAGAGAGGCAGAGGTGGAGAGACAAGAGATCTGATTCAGATGTCTCAAACATTACGTTTTGTCACTTTGGACAACCCCCCCCCCCCCCCCCCCCAACCCCCCCCCAAAAGACCAAAACCCCCGGAAAGGAAAACACAACCCCCCCCCCCCCCTGAAGCCCCCCCCCGGGGGGAACAACCGCAATGGGGGCGGGGGGGGGGGGGGGGGGGGGGCCCGGGCCCGCGGCCGGGGAACCGCAAAGAACCCCGGCCCCCCCCCCCCCAAGGAAAAAAAAAAAAAGAAACGGGGGGAGCCGGGGGAAACCCCCAACCACAAGGCTCCCCCTTAAAGGCGGGGAAAAAAAAAAAAAAAAAAAAAACCCCCCCGGGTGGCCCTGGAGTTTCCAGGAATTGGCAACCCCTTGAAAAATCCGGGCCCGTTGGGAAGGGGGAAAGCAGGCAACCCCTTGGCACAACCTTGCAACCCCCCCCCCCTCCCTTTTTGGTGGTGGTGTTGCAAAACAAAAACCCCCCCGCCCCCAAAAAGAAACCCAAAGGGGTGGGTTCCCCAAAAGGGGCAAATTTTGTTGATTCAATTCCGCAAAAAAGGGGAATCCCCC